TGGTGTTGCAGAAAACTCCTGAGAATACCATGGACAGCCAAGAAAACAAACAAATGGATCACTTTACAAAATATGAAATAAAACATTATTTATAGTATGCATATTGATTACGTGCCATTATGTCAGTGCTGATTCCTAGTGACCACATAGATAGATTTCCTCCATGATGACCTATCCCTAACCTGTTCTTTCAGGTCTCCCAACTGTGCACTCATTGCCACTGTAACTGAGTCCATCCACCTTGCTGCTGATCATCCTTTTCTTCTCTCTCCTTCCACCTTTCCTGGCATTACAGCCTTCTCCAAAGAGCTAGGTCTTCACATAATGTGTCTGAAGTAGGATAAATTTAAGCCTGGTTATTTGTGCCTTGAAGTTGATTTGTTTGATGATCCATTTGTTTGTTTTCTTGGCTGTCCATGGTATTCTCAGGAGTTTTCTGCAACACCAAATTTCAAACAGATGAATACTCTTTTTATCCTATTTCTTCAAAGTCCATAGCATGCATATATGTGCTTATATGTATGTGTGGGTGTATTATTTCATGAAATATATCTATTAAACATTTATCTCTCTTTTAAGTAATTAAGTAATGAAATTCCATTTAAATGAAAGAATGCAATTTCTTTAAGTTAATTATCTGATCTTCTGTCATCTCTCCCTGCGTGTGTTTGTATTGTACGTTTTTCTCGTTTCCAAGCTCATCTTGCCTTGTTTTGTTTTGTTGCAAGCAGAAGCAAAAGTGCCAATTTTCAGTCCTCTCAGCCCAAAGTTAGTTTCCTTCCTGAATCATACATAGGTAGTCCCCAGTTTAAGAACGAGTTCCATTCCCAAGGTCTGTCCTTAAGCTGAATTTGTATGTAAGCTGGAATAGTATTATTGTATAATACTGTATAAGTAGCATTGTGTATTTAACTCAAACCATTGTGTATTTAACTCAAACCATTGTGTATTTAATTTGAATTTTGCTACAATACGCTCTGTTCTTAACTAGGGGTTGTCTGTAAACCGGCATTCTTAACCTGGGAACTACCTGTAATCCTTCTGCAGGTAGCAAACACGTCCCCATTCCCCACTTGATGAGACTTGCTTTGGAAAGTAAATTAAACTGTTCTTGTTAAACTGCTGTTGTGTATAAATATTTGTTGAGCGGCTTTGGGTTCCAAATGGAAAGTATTCTAATAAAATGAGAGAATGTACTAGAATGGAGTCAGTTTTCCTTCCCTCTGTCATAATTGGTAGAGATGATTTTTATTGTACAGTTTATAAATCCTTTCTCTAGGTTTTTCAGGCAGAAGTGCTGTTGGGATTGTGCTCCATCAGCTCACACTGGGAAATGGTGAGTATTTCCACAGAAATAATTATCCCAAATTATACAGGAAAAATATACAGACTATGTGGCTGAGGTCCAAAGAACTACATTTGTAATCCTGAATTCTGAAATATCAGCCACCCCTGCCAAATGGCAATCCACTTGTGAAACCAGCAGTAATTTCATAATCAATTTAGGATATAAAACTAAAGGAAGGGAGAAAGATAAACAAAAACAAACAAACAAAAAACAAAAAACAAAACTTCAAGCCAACTCTGTGAATAGTATCCAAACCTTCTCTGCAGCCTTTCCCAATCTGGGTGCCCTCCAAATATGCAGATTTCAACATCATTCTCAATAGCAGGCTGGTTAAGAATTCTGTGAATTGAAATCTGTACAGCTGGAGGGCACCTGGGTTGATGTAGGGTGGCCTACATCAATAGTTCTCTTTGCTACTTTCCATGTAATGTGCAAAGTTGTAAATTGCAATATATAAGGGATCAAGTTAAGAAAAAAAATCCAGTGAAGATGTGTGGTTTGGAATATTGTACCATGTTTTGAAGTAATTCCTCTCTGGACCTTAGAGAGAACATCTGCAGTGGTGTGCAACATGAATAGCTCCCTTTACTACAATTGTTCACAAAGCAGTTTAGAGCAGTAAACATCTTATGATGAATGTAAGTTTGATAATAGAAAACAAATATAAGTGCTTGGGAGTTAAAGAGGATCTCTACGTATTCTTCATGATGTCTTGCATTCTGAAGTACTAGCTTACGATTACTTTTAGAAATTAAAAATGGGGATTTGTAGGGGAACAAGGGGAGGCAAATGACAACCCATGCATAATGACATGAGGGCACAAACGCTTCCCATTTTTATATGTGTGTGTCAAATTTCAGGATGCACATACAAAAGGGTAGAGTTTGCATCATGATGTCATAACATTTCATCATTTTGACACAATATTAATTTGCTGCAGACACTTCTGCCCATCCCTGTTCTCTCATAGGCCTTTATAGTCACACAGAAAATAATCTCCGTTCAAGGAACAGTTCTGCTTGCTTGTCTTCTTTCCATTGGTATCCCACATGCAAACCCCTAGGTCCTGGCTGGCTCTGGAGCTAATGATCAGGACCACCTGGTTCAGGATGGTTTTAGTCTGCACTAAATGGCATTGGTTGCTCTGGTAGATGACCTTTGCCTGGACCTGGATAGGGGTAGTCCACCACTCTTGGTCCTATTTAATCTCCTGACAGCCTTTGATACCATTGGTCATGGTATATTTCTGGCCCCCTACCAGGGTTGGGGATTGGGAAGGCACTATCTTGCAGAATTTCCACTCCTTCCTAAGTGGGTGGTTCCAATCTGTAGTGGGAGGAGAAGTTGGGGGTTTCCCCAGGTATTGATTCTCTCACCCTACTATTTAATATCTCTGTGAGGCCACTGGAAGAGATCATCTTGTCAGTTCCGAGTAAGGTATCACTAGTATGCTGATAATACTGAGTTATACATCACCAAGCTCTTCCCCAGTGTCTAGAGGCTGTGAAAGTTGGGATGGGATGAAACAAGCTAAGGTTGAATCCAAACAAGATGGAGTTGCTCTGTTTGGAGATCATCTGGTTCTGCCTGTTCTAGCAGTTGAGCTGGCTGAAGTAGCATTGCCCCTGAAAGAGCAGATCTGCAACTGTGATATTCCCTTGATTCACAGCTACTGCTTAATGGGCAGGTGGATGCCATGCCAGGAAAGTCTTTATACAGCTCCAACTGATATGCTAGTTGTGGCTGTACCTGGAGCAAGAGTACCTGGTGACAGTAACTCATACCCACATCACCAACCATACAGACTACTGCAAAATATTCTATGTGGGGCTACCTTTGAAGACAACTTGAAAGTTGCAACTGCTATAAAGTGCAGCTGTGTATGAGCTGATGGGTGAGATCTGTTTCAGCTGGGTTACCCTGCTACTACCGGTGCTGCACTGATTCTGGTAGGTTATTGAGTCCGACTCAAAGTTCTGGTTTTGACTCTCCAAGTTCCAAATGGCTTGGTTCTTAGTTTCTTGCAGTACAGTCCTGCCTTCTCTAGGCAGAAGTGACCCTCCTGATACAGTGGGGCAAAAAAGTATTTAGTCAGCCACCAATTGTGCAAGTTCTCCCACTTAAAAAGATGAGAGAGGCCC